CCTCTTAGCACTAGAGAAAGGGCAACTATTCTGATGTGCTTCTTGATTCATAATACAATTACTTTGGCTGCGGTGCAGAATGGGGTAGAGGCATCAATCTTATACTGCTGGATACTGGCATTCTTGTGTGCCTTTGACGATGTTGAGCAGGCTTATGGGATGGAATATTTGTCTTAAGTGTTTTTTAAGTTAAAAATGCAAAAACAGCCCTGGCCAGTTTGGCTCAGCGGTTAGAGCGTCGGCCTGCAGTCCAGAGAGACCCAGGTCCAGTTCCTGTTAAGGGCACGTATCTCGGTTGCCGTTTGTTCCTATCCCTGGTTGGTTCGTGTCCCTGGTTGGGTCGTGCGGGTGGCAGCCACTCGATGTGTCCCTTTCACATCGATGTTTCTTTCTCTCTCTCTCTTCCTCTCTCTCCCTCCCACTCTTTCTGAACAAAAAATGGAAAAATGTTCTCGGGTGAGGATAAAAAAAAATTGCAAAAATAGAGATTATTTCTAGTGGAGAAGTAGATTTTCAGAATTAGCAGTGTAGGGAGGGGGAAGAAAGACTGTAATTCAAAATGAGAAGCTCTCTCTCTCTCTCTCCCCTCTTTATGTACGGGTAACAAATTTTTGTTCTTACTGTGTTTAAAAGTCACCATGACCCTGTGCTGATATTCCCAAAGCAAAGCTGTTGGCATTTATAACCCATAACTGGCCTGAAACTCTTTTCCAACTTATAAACTCCTGGAAACATTTTCTAAAATGTTGCATCCCAATTGCTCTGTAAAAATGGTGATATGTCCTAGTTTGGTTATTGTATCCACACACAGCTCAGTGCATCAGCATTGGTCCGACTTTCCTTGCTGGGCCACTCAGTGGCTAGTGAATGACCAAAATGTGGAGAAACACAGAGGTGGTTGTTTCCCTGCAGCTCAAATTTAGGTTTAAGTGATTTCCAGGGTGGATTACTAGTTGCTGTAACTTTTTTTTTTTTTAACAACTTTTTTCTTTTTTAACTTGGAAGTTCCAACTTCCAACTTTCTACACCAACTGATTTCTTTCACAATTAGATGCAATGAAAATGAGAAAAATAATTAAAATGTGCCCATTGCTCTCTCTAATTGTTTAAGGGTCATGATACAAAGCTCCACTGGCCAATAGGGTAATGAAACGTTTAGGGACAGAGAGTACCTGAGTTTCATCATTATCTTGTCAATATCTTGAGTTCTGAGTCACCACAGATCTGTACCAACCCTGTGACCCGGGGCAGGTAACATTCCTGAGATGAGAGCGCTGCCCACTTGCCAGCTTCTTAGTGGCCCTGCCTTTGACCTCCAAGACGGTACCTTCCTACCTCACCTCATTGGGTTGGACTCAGGTGTTTGCCTGTATTGCTCCAGGAAGTTAGTTAGAATTTCCATATGGGAAAAGGAGGATGCTAATGGTATACTTACTATCTCATGGTACTGTTGAGAAGATTGAATCCAATAACTTAGTACTGTGTTTAGGATTAGGATTGTGCCTAATACCCAGGAGACAGTTAATAGATTTTAAACTGTAATTTTACCCTCAGGTGTAGGCAAGGTTTTCACCCATATTGTCTTGGGAAATAATCAGCTACCTTGCCTTTCCAGGGTTCTAGTGGATTCTATAAGTCTCCCTGTGATACCTCACTATAACCTACATAAGAAAACGAGCAAAAGTAGGAGTATTGGTTAATTTTGTGTTTGAAAAACAAACAGGAATGGAGATGCACTTTCTTACTTACCACTGGACTATGTACATTCATTTCCTCCCCAGAAACAAATCACAGCTGGGCTTAAAACGAAGAATAGAAAGTGGCCCTGTTTCAGAAAACCAGCTTTAGTAACATAGATTTTAGGTTTGTAAACCAACGTGACTTTCAGTCTCTGGGGATAACTATGTAGAATTTCATGCTGTGTGTGTCAGAACATAGAGCCCCTATGTTATATTCACAACACATATTTGGTCTTCCGTTCTGTAATCTCCAAGTTGGTGTGTGGGTTTCTATTGTAGAAATGGGAGTCTACCCTAAAGGCAGGCCTGTCAGGTTTTCTATCTCTTAGGTCTCTTGACAGATAAGAGCTGAAATTATTTTGACATAACATCATTTATGCATATTGGCTAACTAAGAATTTAATAGAAGATTTCTAACTATAATTTAAAATACTGATCTAGTTTATCTCATTCTATTTAGATCTATTGCCTTTGTGATTGCTTGTAGGGTTATGGTATATTTAGTTATAGTTTTACCACATCTGATCGCTCCCACTTCTGAGGAAGAAATAACCAAAGATGAAGTAAACTAGAGCCCAGCTGCCGGATATCTGAAGTGCTCATGACCTTTTTAGAAAAAAGATATGTAAGAGAAATCCTTTGATAACATAAGAAAGGTCTTTCTTAAGAATAGAAACATTAGCTCTGGCCAGTTTGGCTTAGTGGTTAGAGTGTCGGCCTGCGGTCCAGAGAGGCCTGGGTTCGGTTCCCGCTGAGGGCATGTACCCCGGCCCTGGTTGCAGTTTGTCCCTGGTCGTGGTTGGGTCATGTGGGTGGCAGCCACTCGATGTGTCCCTTTCATGTCGATGTTTTCTGACTCTCTCCCTCCCACTCTATCTGAACAAAAAAAACAAAAAATGGAAAATGTCCTCGGATGAGGATAAAAAAATAAAATAAAAGAATAGAAACTTTATTGATTTTCACCTCCTTCAGCTGGTAAAGCCCCTCCAGACAGGAAGTTAGCTTACAGAGTAGGAGACAAGGTTTGACTTTGGTCAGATTCTTTAGTTAGTGTTCTCTTACCCAACACTCAGCTTTCAGAATAAATACAGATTACTTCACTGTTGTGACTTATGATTTCAAGAAGCATAATGAATAAGCAGCAAAATTTCTCTTTTAAATGGATGATATTTTTTAAAAAGACTCGTCAAAAAGTGCTTTATAATTCTGTCAGGAGTAGAGCTGACCTGAACCCAGTCAGATGGTCTCACCTGTTCACTGGGGCCCAGGTCAAGATTCTCTCTCTCTCTCAGATTTATTAGTGGGAATGAAAGAGAATATTGGAGTGTTATTTCTGCAATACTTCATCAAGGACAAGCAACCAATTTTCCTCTAAAGAGCAATATTTCAGTGGGTTCCCGCTGATACATGATACCATAAAAATGCATTTGAAGAAGAAAAAATGCAGTGCCTGTTTAGCTCTGGCCGCGGTTTTGGACTGAATTTATTATTTATAAATTTAAATTATTTATCTGGATTAGTGTTGTGCTACCAGAGGAGAAAAATTCAAATACAAAAGCATATTCTTATGCCCAATCAAAATGTCATCTAGGAAGTTGAAGACGTAACTTTGAGTGAACAAGGCTATTAATGACTATTGAACTCGTATATCTAGTTTGAATCATAATTAGAAAATTGGTAGTGAATAACACTTTTTTTTTCTTTATTGATTTTAGAGAGAGAGGAAGGGAGAGGGAGAGAGAGATAGAAACATTGATGAGAGGGAATCGATTGTCCGCCTCCTGCATGCCCCCCACTGGGGATCTGGCCCAAAACCTGGGCATGTGCCCTGACCAGGAATCCAACCAGCCGATCTCTTGGTGCATGGGTCTACGCTCAACCACTGAGCCACACTGGCTGGGTGAAAGACTTTTATATCACTATTGGAACTATGTCTTTTAAGCCAAAAACACCTTGAAAAGCAATGAATATATATCTGACACAAGTAGCAACCGAAATGTAACCAGAGACACTGTGCTTTTCATTTTTGGGGGGATCGTTTCCCTTTTTTAGCTGGTCCTACTTAATGAGCTAGGCCAAATTCTGCTTGACTTAGGTCTTTGAAGATGTGTGTGCTTACCCAAACATACGCATGAATAATGGAGTTTGAAAGAAGTTTGTAGTTTAAGATTATTTTCTTGAAATTTGTGATCTCTGCTTTATTACAGCTGTGCCATTTCTCTGGAAAGCATTTTATTTTTTATTTATTTTTGTTAAGCCTCACCCAAGGATATATTTCTAATGATGTTTAGACAGAGTGGAAGGGAGGGAGTGGGGAGAGACAGAGAGAGAAACATCGATGTGAGAGAGACACACCAGTCGGTTGCCTCCCACATTATCCTGACCGGGGCCAGGGATTGAAACTACCAACAAGGCATGTGCCCTTGACCGGGAATTGAACCCGAGACCCTTTGGTCTGAGGGCCGATGCTCTAACTGCTGAGCCAAACTGCTAGGATTAGGAAGCAGTTTAAAAAGGAAGTCTCTCACTAACTGTGCCATGATTTACAATGGTGGCTAGTGCCACTTTGTACCTGTGTTGCATCTTGGGTGTTTGCATTGGACGTTGGAGGGCAGATAAGAAACATACTGCTCCACTTCTCTTCATTATGGACAGGCTTAGTCTTTAATCACCGATTCTTTGATCTCAGCTTCTTTCCTCAACTTGCTGTAATTAGACAGTGTATAACAGAACTTTTTTTTTTTTTTTTTAATGATTCAGTGTTTTATTTATAACTGGCAAAACACATGTAAAAATTTACCATGCGGATCATTTGAAAGTATAGTTCAGTAGTGTTCTGAACTCTTTGTAAAGTACTTAAAAGCTTCTTCATCCATTCTGGCTGCTGTAACAAGTTACCATACACCGAGTGGCTTTGAAACAATAGAAATGTGTTTCTCACAATTCTGGAGGCTGGGAAGGCCAAGAACAGGTGTGGGCAGACTCAGTGTCTGCAGAGACCTGCTTCCTGATTCCACACGGCTGTCTGGCGGTGTCCTCACCTGGGAAGGGGCAGGGGAGCCCTGGTGGTGTCTTCTAAGAGAGCACTGTCCCCTGCGTGAGGGCTCCAGCTCCATGGCCTAATCACCTACCAAAGGCCCCACCTCCAAATACCATCACATTGGGGTTAGGGTTTCAACATATGAAGAGGGGGGCACAGACATTCAGTCTAGAGCCACAAGTAACTCCTTTTGTTCTGGTTTGTGTTGTGTTGTGTTACAGAACTCCAAGATGGGAGGCAAGCTGAGCAAGAAGAAGAAGGGGTACAATGTGAATGATGAGAAGGCCAAGGACAAAGACAAGAAGGCTGAAGGAGCAGGGACGGAAGAGGAGGGAACCCCGAAGGAGAACGAGACCCAGGCGGCTGCGGAGACCACAGAGGTGAAGGAGGGCAAGGAGGAGAAGCCAGAGAAGGATGCCCAGGATGCTGCCCACAAGCCCGAAGACAAGGAAGGCGAGAAAGACGCAGACGCTCCGAAGGCAGAGCCTGAGCAGACGGAGGGAGCCGCGGAGGGGAAGCCGGAGCCCCCGAAGGATGCGGAGCAGGTGGCCACCTCGGGCCCTGCTGCAGGTGATGCCCCCAAGGCTTCGGAGGCCGAGGCCCCTGCGGAACCCACGGCCGCCACCAAGGTGGATGACAAGAGCAAGGAGGGAGGGGAACCCACAAAGACTGAGGCTCCCGCAGCTCCTGCCTCGCAGGAAACGAAAAGTGACGGGGTCCCAGCTTCAGACTCAAAACCCAGCAGCACTGAGGCTGCCCCATCGTCCAAGGAGACCCCAGCAGCCACGGAAGCACCCAGTTCCACGCCCAAGGCCCAGGCCCCAGCAGCCCCAGCAGCCCCAGCAGCCCCAGCAGACGAGGTTAAGCCTGCCGAGGCCCCGGCAGCTAATTCCGATCAAACCGTAGCAGTGAAGGAATAACAAGGACAGCCTATGAAAAAAGAGATTACAGCTTAAAAACAACCTGTTTCTCTCTCTCTGTCTCTGTCTCTCTGTCTCTCTCCTATACTAACTTGTTTCAAATTGAAGTAATGATATGTATTGCCCAAGAAAAAAAAAAAGAAGAAGAAAAAAAAAGGAAAAGATGTCCCATCAAGGGAGGGAGGGGGGTGGGGAGAATCCAAATAGTATTTTTGTGGGGAAATATCTAATATACCTTCAGTCAACTTTACCAATCGGTCCTGGCTTTTCAAGGTCAATGTCTGAAAGTACAGTACACCTTTTGTACCTGAACTGCTATTACCTGCAATCCGCCACTAAGATCTGATATCTTGTCTTCTGCAAGGGGAGTTGGGAGTGATGCGTTTGATTCTGCCCACAGGGCCCGTTCCAAGGCAATCCGATCTTTATGAAAGCAGTATTTTCTGTGTTTTCTTTTTAATTTGCAGTCCTTCTTATTTTGATATTTTTTAATGTTTGTGGATGAATGCCAACTTTCAGACAGCCCACTTAGCCTGTCCACATGTATCTCCATGCCAATACTCCATTCTTCCTCCCCAGGTATTTTTGGGAGTAACAATCATTCTCTCATCTGACTTAGCCTCCCTAGATTTCTCATGACGAGTTAATGCATGTCCGTGGTTGGGTGCACCTGTAGTTCTGTTTATTGGTCAGTGGAAATGAAAAAATAAACATGTCTGCGTTCATTGCAGTTCCAGTTTCTCCTCCATTCTGTGTCACAGACACCAACACACCACTCATTGGAAAATGGAAAAAAATAATATTTAAAAAAAAAACAAAAAAAATGTACAATGGATGCATTGAAATTATATGTAATTGTATAAATGGTGCAACAGTAATAAAGTTAAACAATTAAAAAGAAGTAATAATGACTGTTGGTTTTGTTTTGCCACCCCCCCACCCCCCTAGATAATTAGCCTCAATGGAGAACAAAGCAATGGGTCTGGCATTTTCCAGGATATATTTGGGTAGAAATATAAGGTAGTATCCTCAAATTTTTGTGAGTATTATCTGTTTAAAAAATTTGTTGGATCAGTGCCAATAAATTATCTTGGAAGAGGCTAAGCTGAAAACTTACCATGCCGATGGGTATGCACTCTACAGAAATGTGGGTGTGGCCCTGGCCGGTTTGGCTCAGCGGTTAGAGCGTCGGCCTGCGGTCCGGAGAGACCCGGGTTCGGTTCCCGCTAAGGGCACGTACTTCGGTTGCAGTTTGTCCCCGGACCAACCGGCCCTGGTTGGTCGTGCGGGTGGCAGCCACTCGATGTGTCCCTTCACGTCGATGTTTCTCTCTCTCTCTCTCCCTCCCTCCCACTCTATCTGTACAAAAAATGGAAAAATATCCTCGGGTGAGGATTAAAAAAAAAAAAAAAAGAAATGTGGGTGTGGTTAATTTACTTCAAATAAAATATTTTGAATAAAACAATTGAAAGAATAGATCTGATCTGGAAGATTGGGAAGAAATGAATTATAAAATCTTACAGAAACATTGTGTTGAAACAAAGTGGTGAAACCACTGGCGCTCAGTTTATTTTATCCCTTTATTCATTATACTCACTGGTGATAGAGCCTGGGAAGGGGGCTCCGCGTTGTGATCAGGCGGAGAAGCAGCGGTGTGAAAGCAAGCACAGAGCTGACCTTTATGGTGTCCAGAGTCCTATCCAGGTCTTGCCACTCCTGGATGGCCAAGGCCCTACTAACCGCCAGGCTGCCCTGCTTTATCTGCACGAGGGCAAAAGCTCTATGATCGCAGGAAAGACCCTTGCAACTTCGGAAATATATTGACTTGTTTGTGTGTATATCGGGTGGCAATTTTATATTGTGATGAATATGTATGTCCCAACAGATGTGATGTCACCTCCATACCCCGATTTCTCCCCCAAACTCTCAGTTTGCTCAGGTTTCATATATCCCATAGATGGGGAAGGGGTAGGAGAATGAGTATAAGCCATGACTTATGGAGTGGCCAGGCATGCCCATCAGTTCTTGAACAGAAGAAAGGGAATTGTCCCTTGGATCTTGGTAGTAATTTTGGTCTTTTCCAATTGGATATTAGAAACCAAATCTCAAATATCAAACACTTAAACATGAACTTAACCCTAGCCATGATAAAGATTACTCATGGTTGAATCAGTTAAATGTCAAGTTTTGGGGAGAGTAGGATTAGGTAATAATTGCCCAGAGTGATAAATTCAATTTATCCTCTAACACAAGAAGTTTTCATACTTGAACATAGGGGATTTTCTATAGAATATGAGAAGAGCCAGTACACTGAAATTATCCCCAAAGGGACCTTAGCAATACAGTAGATGAGGATGAACCTGAAATTGTTCTTATGCATTACGTTACACATGATTAAAAAAGGGGGAACAAAAATTCTCTCCAATTACTTTCTGAGTGAACTGTAGTCTGTACCATACCTAAAACATTGCTAGTGGGTAATACTGGGGAAGAAGAAGTGAAACAATATTAGGCAGATATACCTGGTTGGATTCAATTCTTGTCTATGATCACCTTTAGGTACTTCTTGTTTCTATAGTGAAATAAATTTGAACTCTTAATGCTTGAAAGCACAGCATATGAGAAATATGTAAACACAAAGCCACCAAGCAACTGTTTTAGGTATGAAAAACAGCACAGGACTGTCCAGATTGTTAACAATGTGTCCCAGCATATATAAAAAATAGCTCGGGGGCGGGTTGTTAGTGGTGGTAGGGAGACAGCAGACTCAGTGAACCATGGAGGACATTTATACAGTGACTAACATTGAACAGCATACACTTCTTGCAAGTAAATGTGCTTGGTGGAAGTAATATATATCTACTGTCTTTTCATCTGCTTTTAATTAAAAATTCACTAGGCATTTTGGTGATTAGAACAATCAAATCAGCCTCCTGGATTAATATTTATTACTATAAATCACTGTCTAGGAGTAAATGAAACTAAGACATTTTTCTCAGTTTATTTACACTTAGAATTGTTGAGTCGGGTATAGGAGAATTAAAATCTAAGCTAGATATTTTTTTCTTTTTTCTAACTCTATTAGAATTGTGTTCATATAATTAAAAGTACAGAAATGTAGTCACTGAAATATTTAAATCAGAAGTTTAACCTAACCATGGCACATAACATTAATTTTATCATACCTAAGAAACACTTAAGATGCAGTTTGAAATTGTATATTCAACAGAAAATGTTATGCATGGGAGTGATTGGTTCAGCCAGGCAGGAAACAGTGTTGGGCATCCAGGTTAATTTTGGATTAACCTAGATTGCTCCTTCCTCGTGAGTGATCTAAAATGAAGGGAAGGCAATACATAGGCTCTGCTTAACAGACAAGTCAGCACTCTTTGGGAACTCACCACCTATTTGACCTACTAACTCATAGATGTTCAACATCTCCATAAAGAATAAAGGGGTTCCAGGGTCTAACACTTGTTGAGTGCCCATGAGCCTACTGCAAGGAGAAATTAACAGGAATCAAAATGTACTTGTTCAAGGTTGCCAGCTTTCTCTTTCCACCTTGAAGTTCCTGTCTAGTAGCTGACACTTTCTCTGCATGGTGGGGATGGACCCAAATCCCCAAGAGCTGGGATGCACCAGGCATCTCAGGATGGCCCTACCTGGCCTCAACCCTAAGAAAAGACCATCTTTAGTTGTCCCAGACCATTAAGGCAGAGGTCACACATGGCCACGATCCAGGAATGACATTCACCAGTTTTCGAAAGTCTCTTTCAGTGGGGTCCAGACCCAGGTCTAGTGCACAGTAGGGAATTGGTTGTCAACTCTAACGCTGGCAAGGTCTAGACATTCTTCAGCTGCCTACGTTGAGTAAATTATTAGGTGTCAGCAGCTACACAAAGTCAGTTTTCATAAAGCATCCTGATACCTTAAATTTCATTAAATGAAACTTCATGGTATATTGAAACTGTCTTCATCAAAACACATGCACTGTCGGATATGGCTCTGGTACACCCATTTTCTGTTGTTTCTTTATACATAGAGGGCACAGTAAATTTCAGTAGCTTCATTTAGGGGGGAAATCTATTTGTAAAATTTATTAATTTAGTGTTATCCAACATCTTGTCTCAAGATTGATGAGGTTAATCTCCATCCTTTTTATTTCTATTTTGCTTTCTGAGAGTAACAACACAGTTATTTTGAGCTTTGTTTTTAACTAATTTGCACAGTGTCAATAACTCCTTTATAAAAGGAGGCAAAATTTGCTTGATTTTTGGTCTGCCAAATACTTAATATTTTAAATATTTAGCTCAGAGGTTGCTTTTCAGACAGGATGTCTTTTTTTTTTCCTTTTATTTGCCCTCTGCTAATGGAAAAGAAAAATGGGCAATATAGGAAGTTTTTAATGAAGTTATATCTTTGATTTTTAAAAAAGCTATTTCTTATCATGAGACCATATGCTTCATGTCTTTTTAACAGTAGAAATTTTATTAGTGCACAAAATCTCAAACCTCAGGTTCCATACATTTCTCCAAGTTTTCTCAGTTTTAATTTTAAGAGAAGTTTACATTCTGAAGCTGTATACCTACTTTCACATACATATTTAAGCAAATTCCTAGAGCAAGTATCTTTTTGAAAAAGACCCATGATCTTAAAAAGAATATTCTGTTTAACTGTATACCATGAAATAGAAAAATTAAATAACAATATCATATTCCTCTATCTCCTGTACATTTGACCTCTGTATTTTCCAAAGGTACAGATGTCACCTTGGTTCCTCATTTTGTTTTGTTTGAAGGTGGCTTTGTGTTTCCTGAGTTTCCCTCTGAGACCAGGAAAACTCACCATTAATATCAGTCATTTATAAATTAATCAGCCATATATAAAATATTATTTCTTTTGTTTTAACTTCTTTAGATCACTGTGTTAAATGGTCAAATGACAGAATGATAGATCTATATGCATGGATTTAGAATCATTTAGAGAACATTTATATGTGCCTTTTTCACATATGCTTTTGCTTATATAGCCCAGGATTTAAGTAAGTGTAAAAGAGTCTCAACAAAAAACTGTTTGGGGGACTTCTCATCTTGAATATGATTTTCCATATATTTCCCTAATTCTGAAGCAGAGTTTCATATAATGAAAACCAAACAGTAATAGGCCACAGGCTTCTCTGAAGTTGTGGGTATAGAAATGTATATGAAAGCTTTTAAAAAAATATATTCTGATAATTTTTTAAAAATGATCTAAAAGATGGAATTCCACTCACTAGCCAGAAAGCCTTATTATTGGCAACCTCACTATCTTTTGGCTTTTCAAGCTTTGCATTTACAAGTAGAACATGTGTTTGAATAGGCACCAAAAATTCTTGCCTTCTATTTGAATAAGTGATTTCTTAATGGAAATTGGATTATATTTAAGAGCCAAAGAACCAGAAAGCCAGGCCCATGATATTGTTACTTAGAGGGAAAAGACACTTTTTTTTTAACCTTAAAGAAAATATACTAATTTGTATGATACTTTTGATAACAAAAGGAATGGGGAAAAAACAAACAAACAAACAAACAAACAGCCCTCCACCCCTTAAAAGGAAAATAACTCTCTTAATGGAAGGGAAAGACTACCTGTCAGCACATTACTGACAGAAAGAGCTCTGTTTTGAGATTTGCCATGAAAAGAAGGGGATGGCATGCCTGATTATAAGAGCCTTTTATGCAGGTTTGGGCAATTTGATCTGACAGGTGAACCCCATTAAGAAAACTGAGGAGCCGGTCCTAGGGCAGCAGTGAACAGTTTTCATCCTACTCAGCCTTGGCACAGACGGTTTAGAGCTGCCTCTGGGCCAGAACGCCCACTGCAGCTCACCAAGTCTGACTAGTATGCAAATCCGTTGCA